TAAAAAAGATGAGTACGAAAAAAAGAAAAAGAAAAAAAGAAAAGAAAAAAGAAGAAAAAGAGGAAAAAAAAAAGATGAGTACAAAGAATTTTGGCTTTAGTCAAAAAGACAAGGTTTCATTTATAGGCTCTACCACTTAGTAATGTGTGACACAGAGGCAGTTATTCACTAATTCAATGCCTCAAATTTTTCGACTTTGTGTAAAATAATACCTTTACTTAGAAAATTGCTGCATAAATTAAATACACATACACCATACACACTGCTTGGCCCTCAGCAGGTGTTCAATAAAGTCTAAAGAAAATATCTATTAAAATGCAATGCAAAATTAAAACTTAAAATTATAAGACAAAACAAAAAAGCACTTTATGGTGTTATCAACCCAATAAAAAACATAAAGTTAATATTTCCCAAAAGGTAAATTCTAGTTTAAGTTGGGAATAATATAATTCATTACCTGTAGGAAAATGAACTTCATAGTTTTTTGTTATGTGAAATTTTTACTTTAACAGTTTATAGTTTATCATACTATTATAAAATACTATTGAGTTTCAAGAAATATATAAAAACATGGTTACTAATTCATAGTAGGAAAAACATTCCAACAGTTTGTTTTATGAAAAGCAAATGTTTGGGCATTTTTCTTCCTATAGTAAGTTACTTTATAAAACTAAAGTTCCTTTTCAGTAGAACTACTACTTTTACATCTCAAACACAAGGACTAGATTAATAAAACTGTGACAATCAAGTTCATTGATACTCACAGATAACTCAGAGAGCATGTAGAGAAGCTTTTCATAAATTTTCACAGGGTAGGAAGACTAGGGGGCAAAGGAAAGATCACTCTGCAGAACAGACCTTGGTTTTATTTGACTCTGCCATCAACAGACAAGTCACTTAACTTTCTGAGTTTTAATGTCTTCCTCTATCTCTGTCAAGTGCACTTAAGACTCTTCCTTTTTAAAACACCAAAATTCTACAGTATCTACCAAGTTGGAAAGAACTAAAAGCAGCCCTTGTTTCCCTTAGTTTTTTAAAAATCATGGTAGAAAAATACAAAATGGTTTGTAACTTGTTACTCATCAACGTACTATTTCCAGAGCTGAATTCCTGTCCTNTCTCTGTCAAGTGCACTTAAGACTCTTCCTTTTTAAAACACCAAAATTCTACAGTATCTACCAAGTTGGAAAGAACTAAAAGCAGCCCTTGTTTCCCTTAGTTTTTTAAAAATCATGGTAGAAAAATACAAAATGGTTTGTAACTTGTTACTCATCAACGTACTATTTCCAGAGCTGAATTCCTGTCCTGGAAGCCTACCCAGTTAGGGTTCTATGAATGAAGATCTAGATATTGTATTCATAACGTAACTCTCTCCTCTCACATTATTACTCCACCGACTCCTCCCCATCCTGCTTCATTCTCTCTTCCGCTTGTTCTAAGCAAAAACACCAGCAAACGGTTGTAGGCACTGTAAACTTAAGGATCAAAATATTTTAAAAGATGCATTTTCATCTTTTGTCGTCTGCTTCACCCAATTCCTCCCAAATGACTGAATTTTCGTTAAAAGAATAAAAACGGGTAAACAACTTCAGAAACAGAAACACGCCAGGCCTATTTTTTTTTGGTTTTGTTTTGACTGCTTAAAAACAAAACGGAAAGATGTATCCTCATCTATTCCCTTAGGAATACGAATGCATTACCCACCCATTGAAAAAACAATTCTGCTGGTCCATTTCCCTGCTACACAACAGCACAGTCGTCAGGCCCTTCCCAGCCCAGTCTTCATCGTCATCTAGTCATTTTACATTAATCACCCCGGCAGTGCTTGGACTCCAGCAAGCATAGTCCCTGTTTTCCTTACATTCTTTAAAAAAATAATAAATAAATAAAACTCTACGAAACACCACAAAATACAGACTCCGTGGATCTCAGAATACAAATCCCACGTCTTCCCGCCCCGCGTCAGGCAGCTGCTAATATATTTTCCCCCTTGCATAAAACAGAAAGGGAACCACACCAAAACCCTACGTTGGAATCTCAGGACAATGAAACCCACAGGAAGCCACCCTCGCCGCCCCCGGGCGTACTCCTGAGCCAGAGCCCACGCGGGGTGCAGTCGCCTGGCACGGTGCGTGACACCACGTCTTCCACGCCCTCCCAACGCGCCCCGAAGAGTCCCCGGCCGACCTCCTCCGGCCGCCCCCCACCCCCCACCCCCAAACCCACCACACAAA